CCACGATTGTATCGAAGCTGCGATTTCTGTGAAGCACAAGTATGTGTCGTTGATGCAGTTGGCCGGTGTGGAAAACAAAGTGCTGGTCGGTTATCTCGCATCGTTCGATGATGACCTTTGTGAGGTCTTCAAGGTATTTTATATTCTGCAACTTGCACTTTTTTTGTGCATTCGTGTTAAGCAGCAAATTTGCTTGAGTGCAGTGAAGCAGATTGCAGAGTTATTTGAACTGTGTACGAGATCGGACGCGTGAAGAGGTTGAAACAGAAGGAATGGGCGCTGAATGGACGGAACGGGTCATCCAAAGCCTCACTTCTGAATGGAAAACGGCTAAGCGTTTTGCTGTAAATGTGATTTCTGGTGAAAGTGAGACAGTGCATCGCTTTTGGTTCGTTTTTTAACGTCTTTTTTTCAGCAGGCAATTTTAATAGGCGCAGTATTAGTGCTTCAAAATTACTCTTGTAGATGGGAATTGCTTAGAAGTTAAATGGAAAGGATCCAAAGAGCGTTGACTAGGACAGAAAGAATAATACGGCGGACTAAGGCAGTGGGCGTGAGCTTCGCCACCGGAGTGTCAGAAAAAGTGGCAACGTTGAAAATTTTATAGTTTACAACGAAAAGCGGGAACTTTTTCTAAAAATACTGAGCACAGTGTCAGAACTACGTATTCGAGTAAATGGTTGTAAAACATGAAGCGAGAAACGGGTAAAGAGGGAGGGAGGGAGGGTGAGAAGGGGAAGAGGAAAGAGATGATTTGGTTGTGTGACAGCTTTTAAGAAGGGAGACGCCGTGTCGGCTTTTTGAAGCAGCTGTTAATGTATTGATTAGCTGTTGATTTACCACGGCGCACCCTCACGCTGTAAACGTAGACGCAGCTAACAATTTGAGTGCTTTAACAGAAGCAATCAAATTTGGTGCTTTAATATGTTGATGGAAGTCGTGCCACTTGTTGGTAAGGGCGCTAGCCTCTATTTCCATGACTTCCTTATGTTTACGAAGCCAAGCTCTGTATGCATTTTACCGGCTTCGCCGTTTTGTAGCTCTTCAGTTCAGCT